AATACTAATGCATGAAAATCCTAACCTCAAAAAAATCACCCGTTAGTATATTTCTTTATTTGTCCATTTTTTTGATTTTTTCTCCATAGGATCGTGATCGTGCACTGCGTGAACTGATCTGCCCACGTGAGCGACTTGAAGCACAACGTATCAATGATATAACAAACTCCCACTTCAAATCTCTTCAAATTATCAACAGCATTCGCACAGACAATAATGAGAACAACGACATTGAGTTGCTGCCACTTGGTGAAACCACCTACGGTTCGGGCAGCAGCAGCGACGTCTCTGAGCAGGTGCCAACGGAAAAGAATACCGTGCAGCGACTCATCGAACAATTCAATGTGGATGAGCTTATGCAAGCCGACGAAGGCACAATGCCCATGAGTAGCTACCACATACCAGGCGAGATCCCTAAACCAGTGAAGAAGGCGTCTAAGAAGGTGATCGTAACCAATAGTGGCGATTATCAGAAAAAGTACCGTGGACAAAAATACGATGAGAGCATTCAGCTTCCGCCACCAACGCCGAAGCCAAAGAAGCAACAGCAGTTGCTGGCTTTGGAAGACATGATGATGGGCGATCAGCCACAGCAAAGCGGTGAACCGGAAATGATAGAACACATTGGCATCGAAGAAGACGAAGTTTCTAATGAGATAACTGAATCATTACCGCATAAGAAAAAAGTACTGCCACAGGACTTAAAAACAATGGCACCCATTACAGAGAAGTCTTCGGAGGAGATGGTTAGTGAAGAAAAGCAAGCTCATCATTTCAAGGAAGAGATGGAAAAGAGATTAGTATTTGACACAACTATAGCAGCTTCCAGTACAGCAGGTAGCACTACTACTGTGCCAGCAACAACCACTACTACAACTACAACTACAACAACTACCACCACAGCAGCTGCAACGACAACCACTGCCCCCAGTAGCACTGTGAGCACATCCACGACTACTCACAAACCGAATGAAAACCAAGCTACAATAACAACAGAGCAGGCTGTTCTCATTTCAAAGAGTGATGCATCGCCTAGCACTATTAGATCTTCGGAAACCGGCCCGAACCTTATAGTCCATACCTCAACAGCCACTCCTACGCATCCAACCGACTTAGATGCGCACGCCTTCACCAGTAGCACGCTCGCTCCCCACACATCGCACACTGAATCACCTGCAACCATAGGTCATCCTATTCACCCACAGCAACAGCAAGCACACGGGATCATTATTTCCGACGAATCGCAACATTCACACATGAAAGAATCAGCAGACAATTCACACTTTATTCCACCAATGTTGATGGTGAAGTCACATTATGTACCACCGCTGAAGCATAGTGACCATCCAAGTGGGGAACATTATGGCACCGGAATGCATGAGGGAGCGGCGCCTGCTCACCCTGGTCATGGAGATTTTCGAGGTAAGTTAGCACAAATTTTTCGAGAAACTTTACTGAATTCTCAGTACAATCAGTGAAGTAACTCATACTGAATTTAGGGCATCGGGGCACGAGTTTCTACGCTTCAGTAAAAATAATCCGTTCCTATCAATTTGAATGCATTATTTCTACTACTAATGGATTACATATAACCAATTTGGTCTATATTCGTGTGATATTATGTCGTGTTACCCTACTGGGTCTAAGGAGCACCATGTAAATAAAATTACAAAGTTTTCATTGCCTATCTATGCCTACGTATATGTCATTATATTGCTCATACAGCTTGTTATTTTAAATACTTTTGTATAGATATTGCAAAGAATAGTTCTTTTGAAATTCTTGTTATCTTTATTCGTCATATTCCATGTTTCTGGACTATATAAAATGGCGAACGTATTTGTCAATGTTATTGTGGCTTCTTAGCATTTTATTTTTAATATTTTTATTGAGCTTTGTACCACGATTGTTTATTAGGAAAAATTGAAAAAGCAACAAAGTCTAAGCGGTAGAAGTTATAGCACTATTTCGGAGATCACCACATCTCCTCATCAGACTTCTTTTTTCTAGACTTCAGCAGTGATCGAACCTGCGAGTTCGATGTTCAAAGTCAAAAGCGTTAACCACTGAGCTATGTACATCCCGTAAACTCTTGTTGCTAATTCATTTTTCCTTATTCAACCAACTACTATCAAGTGCAGCTGATTTGCCGCTATTTAAACTCGACAGCGTGGTTGTTGTTGTCAATTCTATACATCCATTTGCTTATTTGCTTTTTTGTATAGTTTCAGGCAGGCTCTTACTAAACTATGTATTTGTCAATGTTATTGTGGCTTCTTAACATTTTATTTTTAATATTTTTATTGAGCTTTGTACCACGATTGTTTATTAGGAAAAATTGAAAAAGCAACAAAGTCAAAGCGGTAGAAGTTATAGCACTATTTCGGAGATCACCACATCTCCTCGTCAGACTTCTTTTTTCTAGACTTCAGCAGTGATCGAACCTGCGAATTCGATGTTCAAAGTCAGAAGCGTTAACCACTGAGCTATGTACATCCCGTAAACTCTTGTTGCTAATTCATTTTTCCTTATTCAACCAACTACTATCAAGTGCAGCTGATACGAACATCATAAGAAATTTTTAGGCCGTAATTGTTCGACGTACTTTGGGAAATTTTTTCAAATATTTTGGCAAATGGCTTAACAAACATATGATTTAAAAACATGAGTTTTGAATTTTTGCAAACAATAAGATCTTAAACCTTGACGACCGCGGTGTCTAAAGTGATATATTTTTATATTATGATTTCATTGAAAACATTTGAATGCAGTTTTTTGTTGAAAAATGCATCGAATGAAGGGAAGCAAAGCTAGCGAATGTCGATCCTTTTATCGGGGATCTTTTCCGAGATTTGGCTCCTTTGCTTGACAGCTGTAGCAGACTTTGCAAGGTTATACGCCTTGCTTTCCTTTCCCTGTACACCGAAAGCCGGGCAGAGGCAGCTTCGCCATTAAAGGTCCGGACATTTCAGGTGCATACTCTCAAATCGTTGCCCTTTGACCGTTTGTTGTGGTCGTTATCAAAAGAAGGGGATCCCATCGGAGGCATTTCTGTCTTTTTCATTTGATAACATTTTTACGCGGCGGGTCCCAGGACCAGTGCACAACCATTGCTGGAGTGAATGATTTTTCAACCCGTTACATTTTTATATAACGAGCCGCGAGCTCAAAGACAGACGCCCGCCTGCAGCCGCTGTACAATTCAGTGATTCCTTAAACTGAATAAGTCGGAGTGGCCCTATCGAAGCTCCTTCTCTTTTTGCAGTGACCCCAGGGATTTCGTTGGGAGGTTTCCGCATCTCGAACAAGGGTTGCTCACGTTGCTCATAGTGCGCGAACGAAGGCGCCAGACTGAATTCGGGCTTGCAACTGTAACTGCATGTCTGGAAGAAGTACTATACCCCATTGCACTTCTAGTTCGCTTCATATTTTTGTATTAGGCTTATTATTAACCTGATCCTTAGTCTCAGTCGTCGTCTTCACATTCGTCTTCGCATTTATATTCATCTCCGACTTCACTTTCGTTAATGTATTCGTCTTCGTTTTCCTGTTCGTATTTTTATACGTCTTCGTACTACTCTAGTTTTTTATTCGTGTTCGTATTCGCATCGCTTATCGTTTTCATCGTCGAATTTTCTTCATATTCGTTATCGAATTCATCTCCGTATTCGTACTTGCCTTCGTGTTTTCTTCGCCTTCATATTCGTTTTCGTCGTCATATAATTTTCTGTGAGGTTTCGTAAAAAAATCGTCACAGAAATGAGATACTCCTAAAGATTTCGTTAAGATTTCCGGAACTTTGAATTGCAGGGAATATGTATATTTAGGCTGGGTCGATTTTGTATGGGGTAAAATAAAAGTCATTTGACCGCATTGTAATAGTAATATTATGATGTCTCAGGTCTCAGCCAATTGTTATTGGCCACGAAAGATTAATTTAAAACTTATCTTTAGCCCGCGCAATTGAATCAAATTGTATGAATTTTGTAAATGAAACTTTGGCTTGTAATATCTATGGAATGCGTTATTGTTATAAACAGGACGATATATCAAATTAAGTGCTATTAAATTTAGTACCTCACGTTCACTTATCATTTTTCAATAAGTCTACACGTTTTTAAGATATTAAGATAAAACTTACAAAAACTATAATTTTCCCTTATGAATTTTCAATTATTAATTACTTCAGCAACCAAGTGAAAAATACAAAGAAGTGAGACGAGATTTATTTCAAGCCTTTTAATGTTTTCGGATGTTTATATAATATTAAAATGACCATGGACTTGGTCACGCCGATTTGGTCAGTTTTCAAGATCGTGGTGAATGAATGTATTGGCAAAGATTAGGAATCGTTCGACAAGTTAATAGTAGTTTCAAACATATAGGTATTTACATACATTACAATTAGGGTGAGAAACGCCCATTTTGAGTCCATTTTTGCAGTCTTGAAAACTGGTGCGGAAGGGTTTCATTAGTCGCCGCAGAAGCACATATATATGAAAGTAGGGGACGTGCAATAAGTGTTTAGATATACATAAATATTTTAGTTAATTCCATTATGTGAAAAAAGTGTCTGTAGGTAAATGCAGTAGTCTTTAACATATCCTGGGAAATCCTTTTGAGGACTCTCCAATTGGACGATATTGCTTTGCATTCAGCTTGAACGAAAAAAGTCACTCGCTGGCAGAGTTTTCTGTAATCCGGTTCTTTTATTTAAAGGTTATTTATAAAATTGAAGAGAAATTTTTTAGAAAAAAAACTGGAAATCCACTTAAGTTTTTCGATATAACTTTGATAAATGTTACTCGATCGGTGCGTAATAATTAACAAATTGAAGGCGAGACTTAATGTTACTGATTTTTGATAATAATATGACTAAAATAGTTCAGATTATAAACAAATTATTTTAAAATAAAAAAAATCTTGAACAAAATTTTTTATCATTTTCTTATATTTGCAATTTTTATATTGTATGCATAAATATAAGTAAACCAATTAGTATGTCTAGAAGTTGTGCCTGTTCAGTGTTTCCATACTAATTTGCATAAACAAAATTTTTCCGCGATGATGGAAAATAATGGCTATTCTATTAGAGCTACCGATATTGTTCCTAAATTTGCAAAAATTCGCAAACTATAGCTAATATTAAAAAAGGATTAGAATATTTGGAACTAGCGATCTAAATGCACGCCAGCAGTATTAATGTTGTTCTTTACATCTTTTGACTATAGGCCAGTGCAATTATCAAGAGAACAATTAAAATTTTCCTGAAAATAGATGAGTTTGAGATTAACGATAAGATAAAGGGCTGCGCGAAATGATACTTGCCTTTATCTTTTGCGTTAAAGGATTCATTATCTAATAATATGCACCAAAATTTTTGGCTAAACCCAGAATTTTTAACAAGAATTGGTCTTATTCGACTAGTGTGCTGTGGGTCACTTGGCGGTCGATGCGCGGGCTCTTACAATTAAAATGAAAGACTAATATTTCGCAGGCTTGTTGTTGACTTCATGATACAATATATTTTCACTATTACCAAGAGATTTGAGAAAAATTAGATTTTCGACCCGCCCTAATGTATATATATATATATATATATGTAAATTCTACTAAATTAGTCAGTGTGAAAAAACGTTTTATATTATTTCAAAAATTTGGGTCAAGGTGCTTGTTAAACTACTGTCGGTCAGTGTAATTCTTTTCCATCACCATAAATTTATGGTAACTTAATTTTATATTATTTTCTGCTTGTAATTTTTTAAGGAAAGCCCAGTGAAGACACGTCTCATCACAGCACCGTGATCAGCCATGTTCCCGCTGAGCCAGCAACCCATCACATAGCAAAAGCTGATGTAGCTGGCATTGAAGCGAAGACCACAATAACAGTGACGACCACAATGGCGACATTAAAATCAGAAACAACAACAGCAGCCTCAGAGGGAACATCAGCTCATGGTGACGAGTTGACAAAGGAAACAACCGATAAATCGGCAGCACTGGCACAAGAACACAAGCAGCAACACTCAAATGCCAAGTTAATTGACAGCACCGCTGCAACAGCAAATCAAAAGCAGCAACAGAGCGGTAAACAATCTGGTACCAAAGCTCATTCGCAAGTAGCAAGTGAGAAAATTGAAAATGTCGAAGATATTGTAGCAGAAACAACAACAACAACAGATGCACCTACAACAACAACGCAATCGGCAACGAGCGCTTCCGCTGCTAACAAGCATATTTCAACGGCAACACCAACCACCACGACGACAGCAACAACAGCAACTACAAGAAGGACGACAGCAACATCAACAGCATCGACAACCACAATGAAATCCGCTGACGTCAGCTTGACACATGAAATTGAGAAGCCAGTTAAGCGAGAACCGCAGACAAAGGCAGTTGAAGAGCTAACAAAAGAAACGTCAGGGAAGGCATCTAATACAGCAGCGGAAGTGTCAGCCACCATCATCACAACAACAGTAACGGCGAAGACAGATAAGTTGCAAGCAATAAAAGTCGCCGACTCAAATCGCAAGCTGGAGGTTGAAGAAGCAACTGCAAAGTCACCAGCAGCCGCAGTAGTAGAATTGGCGCCACAAAATGCAACCCCGACAACTGGCGCGCCATCAGCACCAACCTTGGCTACAGTCACAACAACTACTGCTTCCATTGCTGCTTCCGCTTCCGCTGTAACCGCCACAACATCCACACATACAATAACAACAACAAGAGTATGTAATAGTAACACAGATATGGACTTGTCGAGTTCTGAGGAAAGCTCTGCAGCAATTGAAGATACCGAAGGCAATAAGAAGCTGACGCGTACACATCGCACTTGTCAGCCGCGCATCGAGAAGAACAGCAGCAGCAGCAGCAGCGGCAAGCATACGAAGCATCATGCCACAACCGCCGAACCACCAACGCCGACACGCAATTTCTTGAAGGAAGCAACAGATACGCCGCTCTACAAACCAAATCGCCATCGGGTGCTGACCCAGCCGGAAACTGTCAGCTATTTTAAGAAAATATTAGGTTAAGCCGAACAAGGTGAGCAAGACGTGATGGAAAGAAGGTGAGTTCGACAGAGAGATATGCGTGTGGACGCCTAAGGGTGAATTACTTATACTATGTCTCCATTGTGAGATTTAATGAAGATTTAGCCCTCTGACGAGATTTGACGTTAAATCTTTTGAGATTTACCATATAAAATTAAATCTCGAAAGGCAGTAGATTTAAGTTAAATCTTCCCCAAATCTTCAATAATATTGATCAATAAGTACAATTTGTTGGATGTGGCAACCTCAAATTCACATGCCATAAGTCAAATGACATTTGTGGATTCAATATACAGTTGAGGGCATTGAAACATAAACATAAAACATAAAATAAAAACATGAATTTTCGTATTTTTAGGGATTTTTATATTTTTGTTAGTTTGGGAGGAAAATTAGTAATACATATTTACATAACTTTGGTTGCAATAAATTTAGAAAATATTATTTAAAAACTAAAAATTTAGAAGAAATGTTTTATAGTAATATCATGCAGAGTCTTCTCCGCATTCTATAAGTAATTTACGCGCTGCGACAAAAAATTTATAAATTTCGGTAATGGTTCTGCTTCGATAACATTGCACCGAACATCCTCTAGAACTCAATTCGTATTCATGATATGCCAAAGGCCCACGATTGGATTTTCAGTTCCCTCCTATGAATAAAAGAGTTCTACAAAAATTTTTCTTTCCGCAAATGTTTTTTTACCGTTTTGATAATTTTTCTTAAATTCGGGAAAATGATTCGGAATATGGTACCATTCTTTACACTTTCCAAACTATATATTATACATACATATTTACCACGATTAAGAAGCCAATAATATTCAGAATTCATATAATGAAATTCCGCTTGGTACCTTCCTTTTATCTGTCTGTATATCAATGTCCGCAACTGTATTTATAAAATCATACATAAGCAAACGTCAAATATTTAAAAATGTGAACGTCAAACATATCTCGTTGTGGTAATGGAGACGATTGTGATTTAGCAACTGGATTTATTAAATCTTAATGGATAAATCTCTCAATGGAGACATAGTATTAGCATCATAAATATGTTTATGAACAGGAAAAAGTAGCTAAGTACATACATATGTACATGTGTAGTTAAGAATTTTATGGGAGCTGAGGAGGAGTTGAAAACGCAGCGAAGTAGTGAGGAAAAGAAAATAGTAGCAGTATAGTTTATGGACTATTTCTACGAGTACTTATGTAAGTACGAGTATAAATATTTTTGCTTAAAGAGTTGAAAAACAAATAAACAAAGAAGAAATGTGTGAGAGCTGAAGGAAAAATTAGTATAGCATGTCAATTTTGAGGGCTAAGGTAGGTGGAGGGAAATAACGTAAGCAGACACGTTTAAGTTTGATAAATGCACTTGGCTATTTGTGAGGAGACTTTAAATTGTGCTCGTGTTTTATACCAAATAAATTCAGAATAAAGCAAAAGAAAAAGCAGACAATTGATGTGCGTAAATTTTTAGGTAGCAGAATGTTTACCGAATAGATAAATACTTGTACGTTTTGAGAAACAAGTACATCTGCGAAAAATAAGGCCAAATACAAAGTTGAGAATGATCATAGATTTACACACCGACACTTACATAATACGTAGAAATATGCAAGTTTACATGAATTAAATATTAAGTAAACACCAATGATTGACTTTATGAAGTTTTACAGTTTTAGTGTTTTACTTAAGCAGAGAAAGTTAAAATGTTTAAAGGTTCAATGAAAAAAAACCCGTTTGCCAATGCCATAAGATAAACATCTAGAGACTAAGTTTTTTTTAACTATTCCGGGACAAATGAAGTTTTATAAAGGAAAGATTCGTACGAAGAACGAATCGGCGGACAAATGTTCATTTGTCGTAAAAAAGGTGAAACATTTTCATTGAAAACCCAAACTAAAATCCGGAAACAAAGGCGTGTGTGGATACATTTCTGTTTATGATAATGTAGTATTCGGTCATTTGGAATAGATTTAATTTTGAAATAGGACAGCTCACCTTCTTATAACCATGAATTGATTCAAATATATAGAGGACTCATATATTAACACACTGGAGTGGCCACCTCAAATCTTAACCAGAGGGCTTAATATTAGTGGTATGGCACACTTCTCCTCTAGAAATGCATCAAAAGTATTTTCTTTGGATTGGCAAGAATGTGATAGAATAATAGAGGCCGTTATGGTTAGTAGGGAAATAAATACTGTTACAACATTGAACGCACCCAATCCAATAGAAGAGTTTAATTCAAAATCGCTTCAGCTTTCACCATAGATTATCCAGGTAACGAGAATCGTCTCGCTGTTATAGCGCTATTTATGTAAATGTGAAATGAAAAAAATTTGGTATTTTCAAAACGCTCCGCCCGCTTGGGATTAGTTGCACGTTACTCCGTCGGTCGGGCCGGTCCACGTACAGTTCGAACGCCGCAAGTCATCACGCTGAATTTTCTCGAAATCCACTCCGAGATACGAGTGTCACGCAAAAGTCCATGAGTGGAATTATTAAAAAAAAAAACTTGAGAACTGGGACTTTCAAACGCCGTATCGGATATTTGTTGACTGCAGCTTTGAAGAAAAAAAATGGGACTGAAAAATGCAAAGGCCTTTTGGTGTCACTCACTGATAACTTGCATAGGAAAATTTTTTTTCCCGGATTACAAATTTTACTGTGCCGTATATGCACAAAATATATATTTCTAGAGTAAAATATGAACATTTCATGAGGATCCTCTAAATTTATACCTAGACACGTAAAGTTTGGTGCCAGAACCTCCTTCGGCAAGAGGAAAAAATGTGCTCGTATGACCTCACTATGTAAGAGATTCTTAGATGACATCGCAAACCCGGTATTGGCAAACAAATAGAATACAAATGTTCGTTTGACATTTTTAACTGGAATAAAATATTAAAGCAGATAGAATTAATAGATTTTAATTTTCAAGCCCAATATTAAAGAAACGATGAAAATATAAACGCAAACCACAGAACAAAGAAATGACTTCATTAAGTAGAAATGTCAGCAAACAAATTTTCGCAATGCCAAAAGCGCACAACAACAAAAAAATAAATCATGCAAACACACAAACTTTAGTGCAAGGATGCGAACAAAAAAATTTATTAAATTTTGTTACTCATTTCGTACAATTAAAACCACAAATTACCATAGAATCGTTTTTAAATTGAACAACAATAAAAATAATAACCCACCCAAGAGAGTGGGCCAAAGCGGAAACTATTGAAGAAGAATGCGTTTATGCAAGCATTTATGTGTTTATGTGTATTAACAACAACAAAAAATATACAAATACACTGAGGGAAATAATGCATAGTAAAAATGAATACTTTATATTTGATTATCGTTTCAAAATGTTCGTATTTAAAAATAATATTTTTATACAAAATTTATTACGCACGTATTTGACTGTTCACATCTGAGTATGTATATGTAAGTGTACATACGCACCCCAAGCATGCAGAGCGCCGCTCTGAGAGCGCGCCCTGCAAAAAATTGTGCGACTAATCTCTAAAGAGAGTATTCCGAGATTACTCTCAATCGGGTACAATTGGGCATTAATTAGTCGCAACAAGTCTCATACGGGTACTAATGGAGGTCAATTAGTCTCGACTCCTCCCTTATGGGTATAATTGGAGATCAATTAGTCCCCAACTCATCTCTAACGGGTACTATTAACGATTTAATGATATGTACGCACTTAGTCAATGAAATTTCATGTGCGGCGTTGGCACACAGAGAGAGCATTCGCCTAACAAAACTGAGCAACCCGGTTCGAATCTCAGCTGGCGCAAATTTTTATTTTTATTTTTTAAAAGTGACTAGTCGCTTTTTATACCCTTTCGGGTATAAAGGTGAACAATTAGTCTCTTCATAGGACATGCTCGAACAAAAGCGAACAGTTCATTCCATATAAAGAGATCAGAAATGGTAATAGTCGCATGTTCCTTTTCGATTGCTCCCGGAGTCATCCCGGATTAGTCCCATTTTTTGCAGGGCGGTGACAACACACACATACAATGACGAGCAAAACTGTACCATGGTTTAACACTTTTTGTTTCAGCCACCGCTATATTTCCAAGTTCTAACGACTTTCATCCTTTTGTTGAATATTCTTGTTGGTACATCCCTACTCCCTCTCTCATAATGATTTGAAGTCCATACAAGAACAATAAAAAAAACCAGCAGACAAAAATGTAAATTAAGGCAGATGTTACAGT